TAGTATTTTAACCAGACCCACACATCGACATGTATTGAGGTCCATTTGACTCGTACACCTCCTAAATTTGGAGTTAATTGCGGAAATTGTGAAAAAAAGGCAAAAACGAGTCAAACGGGGCTCAGATTCGGATTCAGTTGGTCGAAATACGTGGCGGCAAGTGGGTATGGTTAAAAGCACACACCAATTTTTTTTTGCACCAGTGTAAGGAATGGGTTAGGAGGGTGGTCTTCGGTTCGATAACTTGGAAATTCTCCAGAATAACGGAGCCTTCGTTTTCCAATGTATCCTACCTTGGTTTTAAGTTCGAAATCCAGCCCGCTTTCGGAGAAAATTTTTGTGAAAGGGAGCTTTAAATTTTTTTTAGACAATGGCTTTAGTTGCTCTTAAAAGCGTCAAATAAGCCTTGTTGCAAGTTCTTTTCAAAAACTTCGTTATAAATGCTTGTTAGATCAGACTTCAGCTATTAAAAGCAATGTCTATTCAATTTACAAAAAGAAAGAGGTCATATGTAGGTATATGTACACGAAGTAGTCTGATTTTTGTTAACTTTTCGCGTTTGCCCTAACAATATTTGGAAGTACGAGTATTATCGATGCTTTTTTGCAAATATGAGTACTGGCATCGATTCTTTTTTAGAGTACTATTATAAATGAGTACTAGTATCGATACTTTACTAAAAAGTTCTATCACTAATCATAGTTTCGTTTATATTCTTTATGGGAGTCTCATAGCGCACGTCTGGGATAAATCTCATAGCCTTATTTTGCATAACCTGTAGCTTATCTACTTGCGCTTCATTAGCAATAACTAAAATTGTTGGGTAAATAATATATAAAATACGGCTCTATAAGAGATCTATAGATCATACTTTTGTATTTCTTGCAATAATATGCTTGCGTGATCTTAGCAATTTTTCCAACTATATATTCAATGTGGTCATTCAACTTCAATTGATCGTCAATTTGAATGCCTGAGTACTTAATTATGCTCACTTCCTCAATGTTTATTCCCATCATTTTTAGATCAAGTTTTCGGGTTTCTTTATTTAATGTTCTAGAAATAGTGAATTAGAAAATTAGTTTTGTTAACCAATTTATAAGTTTTCTGGTGGTTTTAAGAGCTATGTTTACTTTTTGCATGATTCATATCTTACTGGTTTTTGTAATGAACGCAATTTCATAATCAACAGAAGATGTGAAAATTATGACGCAAAAAGTGAAGAAATAAAGGTTTCGAATTTATGTATGCACACAAAATGCCTTCCAAATTATTTCCTCTGCCGAGACAATGCCAATAATAGTAATAAAAAAAAAAACACTAAATCGGAAAAATGCATTTTCTCTAACCAACAGTGATGCTCATCGTCACATTGAAAGTTTTAGCGTCCAAGTTGTTACGGTCGAAGTATTTGCGAGGCAAACGAACTGCCGTTTTTTTCGTGAAAAGGCATTTTTCATTAAATGCAGCGCTTGCAGCTTTTCCAGTAGCGGTGGCAATTGCGAAGCAGGTGGTTAGTTATAACTGCCGCCTCCATTTGTGATGCAAGCACTTAGAGCTTTTCTTCAAACTTCAATACATTGCTGAAGAAACAACACTTGTGAATATTTTCACTTTTAAAGGTCAAACGACATTACGATTTCGCTGGCGCATGTGGCCGGTATCCGCTTTTACTGTTTACTTGTTTACAGTCAAGTGGCAAGTAAAACTTGTTTCTCGCTAAAACTTAGTTGCCTGCGGATGGATGACCACCTCAGCTGGGATAGAAAATTGTTGACAATCTGCATGGCTGCCATATAATCGCGCGAAAAATAGGAGATTCTTTGTTGGTTTATCGCTCGTTTGCTGGAAGAACGTCATAATTCCAAAAATCAAATAAGGAGTAAATAAATATGGTCGCATTTAGAAGTGATATGGGCCATTTTGGAGTTTAACGTTAAACCCTACTCATAAACACGGATATAAGTTTCGTTAAACTCAATTTAAACACCACTTTTTTGGGGCATAGGGGCATCCAACCCTATATTTTGATTAAACTTGGTCGTACTGAAAATCAAAACAAATGGTTCAAACCACAAGATTGCCATCTCCCTTAAATTAAGTAACAAAAATAAATATTTGGCGGTAAAAAATTTGTCTAAGCATTTGGACGAGTTTTATTTATGAGAAGCTTTTTGATAGCATAAATACACTCGTGCATGGGCGTAGCGGGGTAGGGGCTGACATCACCGCCATCTATGAAATGCGATGGACGGCGCAGGGCAAGGTAAGCGTGGAGTCTTGCGACGTCTACTGCAGTTGTCACGTAAAAGAGCGCAAATTCGGTCTTGGATTTATGGTGGGAGAGAGACTCCGTCGCCGAGTACTGGCCTCCACTCTAGTTGACGAACGTCTAGCCATAATTTGCATCATATGTGCCGATGTCCCGATGGAAGAGAAGGACGAGACATCCAATGATATCTTCTATGAGCGCTTGGAGATAACATACGAGCGCTGCCCCCGCTATCGGAAAATTCCGCCTCCATGACCAAACGCCCGATAACGGGCTGCTGCTGGTCGACTTCGCCGGGGCCTGAAGCGTGGTAGTATGTAATACTGGGCTCTAGCATGAAAATATCTATCAAGCAACATGGCTGTCTCCAGATCGAAAAACAAGAAACCAAATCGATCATGTTGTAATAGACGGAAGGCACGCTTGCAGTGTTTTAGATGTACATACGTACACTCCGAGGGCTAAACAGCAGTTCGCACCACTATCCGGTTGGAGCCAAAATACTCACCCGCCTTCGTGCAGCAAAAAATGTGCTACAATGCAAGAAAAAATCTCAACGTCGAAAAGCTGCAATCACAACTGACGGCCAATTGATACGCCACTCTGTAACTGATGAGGGGAGCCAGACGTATTTGCAGCAACTTCTGTGCGAAGAGCTTGAAATGCTGGCTGACAGGAAAAACCCCCGAAATTTTTATCAGAGAGTTTGGTGAAGTTTTCAAGACTCCTGTAGGAATAACCATGGGGATCTAGTGACCGGTCTCCAGAATGTACTTGAACTGTTGTTGTGGGGAATGTTGAACTAAAAGTATTGGAGAAGACGAACCCGAGCCACCCGTCGATGGCGATGGAGTCGATGTCCCAGCGCCTGACTATGACGAGGACGAATCGCGATTATGCTGACGACAAATAACAAAGTTGCTGGAGTTGACGGCCTGCCTGCCGAGCTATTCAAGTACGATAGTGAGGAGCTGACAACTGAAATTCAAGTGTGCTCTGCCTAATCCACAACAAAGGTGACCCCGCCATGTGCGCCAACTATTTTATCGGCGTTTTGTGTGAAGGACTGAAGCCCACCATCAATGAACTGATTTCGCCTTACCAGTGTGGCGTCAGATCTGCCAGATCCACCATAAGTCTTGTATTCGCAACAAGCCAAAACTTGGTAAAAACCAGTGAGAATAGGATCGACACATATCTTCTATTTTTTGATTTCAAATTCGCTTTCGACAGCACGAAAAGAAGTTGTCTTTATTTCGTGGTGTCTGAATTTCGTATCCCCGCGAAACTAATATGGCTATGTAAAACGATGTTGAGCAATACCACCAGCTCCGTCAGAATTGAGAAGGATCTCTCCTAGCCATTTGATACCAAACAAGGTTTCAGACAAGGTGACCTCCTTTCGTGTGATATCTTTAATCTGATGTTGGGAGAAGATAATAACTGTCGCTCAGGCAGAATACTTTACAAGAGCGTACAATTGCTGGCGTATGCCGACGATATCGACATTATTGGTAGAAATAAGGGCTACGTCTGTTCTGCCTTCTCGGAATTGGAAATAGAAGCAAAGCGTGTGGGTCTGATGGAGAACGAGGACCAAACGAAGTATTTCCTATCATCTCACAAATAGTCAGAGCATAAACGTCAATGACAATGAAAACATCTGATGAGGCGGCTCTTGGAGTTTAGTGCAGCGAATCAAAATACAACGGCTACGCTGCCTGGGTCATGTCGTACGAATGGACAGAAACGTTTCAGGTCTGAAAGTATTCAAAGTGACTTACGATGGTGGAAGGTGAAGGCCCTCACTGCGATGGAAGGACCAAGTGGAGAAGGACTTGGGTTCGCTTGGCATTTACAATAGGCATCAGTTGGCACAGAAAAGAAATGACGAAATCCTTGGCGGTGGTACCAGGAGGGGAACGGTACATGACGGTAGGAAGTTTAGTTTGGGTGAACACAGGCTGAGGCTTTCGATGCTTCCTCCTCGAAAAAAACATGTGCAGTAATAAGTTAAATATTAAAGCGACGAATAGTTTTACATAAACTTTTGTGAACTTCTATTTATGTGTTTTTGTACAACATACCTCGATTGCTTACAATAATTTTAAATTATAATCAATTTTTTTTAGTAATAATTATTGGTTAAAAAAAAATTGTTGTATGGGGAAAAAATCGACTTCACTTAATCAATTAACCGTTTCTTTTCGACTTATCTAACCGCTCCCAAACAACTAGACCACATTCGATTTTGCGACTAGGGGGTTTCTTTCAGGAATATTTTTTTTTATATTCTTTGAGTGCCTATGCTTATTGACAAAACCCAACCGCGCTAGTTATGGCGAAAAAGTATCACTATTCGAATAATTTCGTTTTAGGAAAAGAAATAGAATTTTCACTATCACTATCTGGTTAGCGGTAAGGGAACGAGAATTTAAGTATCACTGACTAATTACACTAGTTTACAAATTCTAGGCAAATTTGGCGATCTGCGATTTTAATAACCATTTCCTTTCAACAGGTTTGTTCAAAAATGTATAACCACTAACCATATGGTATATATATAAATGCATTTCAAATTTCACTACCACTATCCGGTTAGCGAAATGCTCAGTGCATTAAAAATTTAGTACAGTGTGCCCAACCCTGGTATATATACATAAGTTTTCGAATATCATTTTACTTATATCGAGTTTTTAATTTTAGTTGAATTCATTTTCAGGTTCTTCTCGAGATACATATCAAGCATGAGGACATATCAAATATTTCGTTACCCTCTCTGGGCTACTCTCTACTGCTTAATTTATATAGTTTTATCAGCTGACGAAGATTTGGCTGACTTTGATTTTGCCAATCCCAAAGAAATCGATTGGAATTATGATACTGAACAAATTGGTGACCAAACACATAATACTGCGGGGCAAAGTTATATAAAATCATCGGAAACAATCGTTAATTCTGAAGAGGAAAACCAAATCTATCCATTCGATTGGCGAGAGAATATTTTGAAAAATGCTTTGTCGAAAGCATTGACGAATGCTGCATTGCGTCAGAAATTTGTTGAAGTTATGCCGATATTACGAGTACTGTCATCTCAACAGCGCCTAGCATTGTCCGCCCTCATATCAGCACAAATAAGTGCCAAAGGAAGCAATGGACTCAAATTACAACAGGTGAGTAAATAACTCAGGGTTCAGGATCAGAGGACAAATTTCGCTTTAACCACGCATTTGCCGTTTTTTTTTTTTAATTTTTACCAAAGGTTCAAATGATGTTCGGTAACGACGAAAAATTGTTATTGCCGATTGTATTTGATATTGCAAATCTAGTACGTAACTCGGCACGCAAATATTTGGGCTTCGAACTTGACGTACCAACGCACAAGCCAAACGAGCAACATATCACTATCGACCGGCGCATTGACGATTTATATACCGTAGAATTGGCTGAATTTGACAACAACACAAACAGCGAATCGGCATTAGACGACTTTTTCAGCGAAACTGGTGAGGAGATGTTAGATCCGCAAAGTATAAATGAGGAATTACAAGCAGCCGCCAATAAAAGAGCAGCGTCGCCTATTAAAACAAAAAATATAATTTCTTGGAACACAAAACCAACAAATATAAGTTCCACAATAGCATCCCCGAACCGAACTAAGCGGGAAGTTGCGGCGCCTGAGTTTGTCCACAAACTAGTTCGTTCAATGCCACTTTCAATCGATAAAGACAACAATAGTCCCGACGTTGCCGAAAACAATATCAAACTAAACACGTCTGGCTTTTTTAGTTCCAAAGATCTAAGTAGTGATCCTTTTCCCGGAAGCACCACTACAATGGAAACTTTTTTACCCATAAATGAAAACAAACAAGTTACCGGTAGTCAATTGCCATCTACACAGTCATATCAAGAAGTTGAGGATCTCGCGTTTGCCAGTTTGAACGGAACGGCGGTTAATTTGCAAGTCGCTACGGAAACGCCAATTACCGCTTTGGACGAACTATTACCAAGTCCCGAGGAACTTATAGCAGGGCCACGATATCGCATTTCCAGCAATAAAATGCCATCCGGCCGACCTAAACCACCAACTGTAAAACGAAAACGCGTACAAGTTTCGCGCATGCGTTCAAAAATAGCAGCACAGAACAGCATTGGAAGAGGTGGCAATGGTGTTGCACCACCAAAAAAATGCGAACGGTTTACTTCCTCTATGTGTATTCGAACTGAAGATTATCCGCTGTAAGACCCCAATTCCTCTTCACAAAAAGCACATTAAAAAATTAAGCTCTAATCTCTGATTGGGGAAAGGTGTATTTATTTTGTATAATTGAGTTCTCTAAGTCCTATTATTTTGACAACGGTGCAGTATTTTAGTTTACTAATAAATATAAATAATTGGCTTGGTTTTGTTCTTTGCCATTAAATATTATTAAATCGAACGTTAGCACATTTGTAATGGGTTCCCTTGTTGCACTTCTTTCTTCGCTTGATCTCACTACTACCACTTAAGTATTTTTGTAAAAAAGTTGACTGTTCACAAATTTTTAATCTGACCAAAACAATGACAGGGACCAGATAATGGGCAGCATTCGACG